GTATAAATCTCGGATAGTGAAATTGTCATCAAATCCCTTTTTTAATTAATTTTTTTTTGAAGATTGTTATGGAAATTTGTAAAACAAAAAAATGGGCAAACATGGGCTAACGAATGATTATCTAACGCAGTTATCATATTGCATTTTTGTGAATATTTTTTTTTTATTTTTTTTTTTTTCATTTTCTTTAATTTTTTTTTCTGAAGAAACTAATTTATGGGCAAACGTGGGCAAACGAAATGCTATTATGCCGTGAAATTAAATTATGAAAATTTTAACTTTTGTCTGGAAGTTGGCCCGCGAAAATTATTTTCGTTAGGTATATTGTGAAAACAGAGGGTGGGCACAAAAAGTTATTTCATGGGCAATAATGGGCAAACGATGGGCAAACGTCTCACACATTTTTGACCTTTTTTTTCAATGTTGTGGTGCCAAGTTCACAGACCTATTTTTTTTCTAATTACAACTAGTGATGAGCAAAACAATACCCAGACCATGTTGGTCTTGGTTTTGCACACTCGGTCTTGGTCTTGGTCTTGCAAGCCTTCAGCTGGTCTTGGTCTTGTACAGCTAGGTCTTGGTATTGGTCTTGCTGCAAGATTTTTGCGAGTCTTGCATTTTTTGGTAAATTTTAAATACTCTGCTACTTTGTACACAAAAAAAGTGTTGTTGTTCTGTGAATTATAGTATTTTACAACATTTTCCAGCACCGAAAAGAGTTTTTATGATATCACCTAAGTGTTCTCTATTTGTAGTTAATAATGAAACACCCCGTATAAATTATTGCCATTAGAGGCTTAATGCACATTATAAAATCAGGAACTACTACGCAAACAGTAAATATAGTTATCTTCTAAAACTTGTGGTTTGTAATTGTAAATAACCCACATATATTTTTTATTCAAACCTTTTTTATTAAACGTTTCCAAAAATATTAGTTTTTTGTATTTAAGTATAAACTTAATGTACAGCATGTAAAAAGCTGTGAACAGTTTTAAAAATTAAAATTATAAATGTGTCAATTAGTAATGTTTATATGCTGTACACTTGAATACGAAAAAAGAATAAAAGTTAATTTTTTCGAAACGTAGTATATAAAAAAACGGTAAATAAAATAGGTGACTCGTTTCCCCACAATTTGATATTTATTTATTTATTTATTTATATTTAACATATTTTGTGTATTCTTTTATTTGAAATATTTTTTTGCGCATCCAACAATCCAATAAAAAACAAAAATTGTATCCTTAAATCAACAAAAACTGCGACTGATAATTGAACCTGGATGTTCCAGACGTATGGAATTAAAATAAAAAATGTAGATGCATAGCATACTGGCATAAAATACTGGGTCAAAACAACTTAAACATACGGAAACTAAAATCCCTATTGTCCATTTGCATAAGTGAATAAATAAGGAGAAGGGTATTTGCTGTTAGGTAAGTAACGTTTATTTGAAAACAAAATTTGGAATTTTTAGTTGGTTCTGAATAATTTGTTACTTTATTCTTTAATAATGTTAACATTTATTTTCAGTAATAATAGTTATTCATAAGAATAATTATTCAAATATTATTCTATTTAAATTCGTGCCTATTATGTTAAGATTAAATAATAATTCCTCATTATTTTTTAAGAATATTATTAATATTTTTTTGTATTTTATTTTTTATAATAATAAAATCGAGACGAGATAAAACATAAGACGAATCGAGACGAGACAAGGCTTGTCTCTTGTTTCGGAAAAATGTATCTCGAAATTTCGAGACGAAACGATATAAGGTCCTATCTGTCGTCTCGTGTCAACTCTAGTTAAACGCAGTAAGAGAGTATATATAAATGAACTTTTAAATGCCATTTAAATTATTATAACATAAGCTTTATGTAATCCACTGCTGGAGAATATCTCGCATTGAACAAACAAACGGCTTTAAATGTATATTTATTAATTTACACATTTCTAAAGACAAACCCTATATTTCGAAAACCAAAGTTTTTCGAGACGAATGTTTATATACTTACCTTTTATTTTCAGGCAACAATTAAAGAACGCAATACCGCAAGAGTCTTGGTCTTGCGTCTTCTTGCGTAAGTCTTGCACCACTTGGTCTTTCAAGCTTTCAGCTGGTCTTGGTCTTGCAAAAAAGCATGACCAAGACCGCAATACCAAGACCAGTCTCGCTCATCACTAATTACAACCGAAAGAATGTTTTTTGCTTTAGTAGTTTTCCGGAAATATTAACCCCTTTAAATTGAGAAAACCATCTCCTATACCAAATGAGATATCAAAATGATTTTGATGCCATATTTTGTTGCTACTTATATACTGCTCATTAGTACTATCTAATCAGTGTTCCAATCAGTTGAATATCATAATTGAAAAGTCACCTTCCGAGATTATTTCAGATTTTCACGTTTTAGGATCCCTAGATTACGAAAATCATGTTTCCCAATTTTGTCTGTCTGTCGGTCCATCCGTCCGTGCGTCCGTCCGTCTGTCTTTCTGTTTGTCTGTCTGTTTGTTGTCACGGTATCTCAGAAGCTGCTTTACAGAAAAACTTTTCTGGCTCAAAACCAGTTATACTTTCGATCAGTTATATACAGGGTAAGCAGTTTTTTTAATTATTTTTAGATTTAAGAATTTTAGAAGCTAAGAAGTTTTTAAAAATTTAAAATGGCGTTGTAAGGAATCGCATTTAATCAAAAAAGGCCCCCTTGAATGGAATAATAAAACTCGGCCTTTTGGTTTGTGTACATGCAGGGTTATTCTACTAAATTTATAGCCCGGCTACAAGTTGGATTTTGGCTTGAACTTTATATGTTCCTAACTTCAAAATCCAACTTGTAGCCGGGCTATAAACTTTTAGCCGGTCTATAAATTTAGTAGAATAACCCTGCTGGACCTTTTAAAAGCAGCTAATCATTATTGTTAAAAAACGGTGAACTTGATGAAGAATACCGAGCGGACTTGAAGTGAGATTTCGGGTGGGATCAAGAGGAAGATCAATTATAGAGAGAGAAATGTGAAAAAGAGTTTTTGGTTTGGTGGTTTTAATTTTAAATTATTAAAATTAAAGTACTTATGCGCTCTCTGTGTTTACAATTTCTATATCGAGGGAAGTTCTGGGTGAAATACTTTACAGATTTTTTTTATTTTTGTGTTGCCATAATGTTCATCCTGTTAGGTATTAGGATACTAATAGCCTTACGTTCCAAATTATGATATTGCCACGATTATCAGATTTATATATTTGCTTATATCATCCAATTAAAGTGAAACAAATTTATGACATTAAATCTTTATTGACTCTAAATTAAAGTTATAATGAAATTGCACGAAAACATATAATAATAATAACTATTGCACTGAAAAGAAATACATTACTTAATAGGCCAGCTTATCTAAGTATAAAACTGCGTAGCCATTGTTTCTTATGAACCATAGGAGAGAGAGAGAAAAAATTAATTTCATAGAAACAGAGCTACACCATTTCTTACTGTAGCTTAAGTATCAAACTAGCACATGGCCAATGATTCTTACGAACCGCAGGAGTCAAAAAATAAATTAATAAATATTTCTGAAGCCAAAAAATTAGCAAAAAATATGCTGCAAAGCCGATTCTGTTATACCTCATAGAAACAGAAATACAGCACTGGTCATTGTAGCTTGAGTATCAAGCTAGCATGGCCATTGTTTCTTACGAACCACAAGAGCAAAAAAAATTGATATATATTTGTAGAGCAAAAAATTAGCAAAAAAAAGCTGCAAACCCGATTCTCATATATTTCATTGAAACAGAAATACAGCACTGGCCATTGTAGCTTTAGTATCAAGATAGGATGGCCAATGTTTCTCGGTAACGGCAGGGGCAAAAAAATTAAAAATTGGGTAACAAAATAGCAAAAAATTAAGCCAAAAATATAGTAAAAGTCGCTCTGCGGGCTAATGAGTTTGCCATGCTAGCTTTGGACGTACTGTTTGATTATGATTTCGATTTTAAATTAATTATTTGTTTCCATTTTTTTGCAGTAACATTTTAAGGTAATAAACTTTGTGTAAAATGAAAATGTATTAAATGTCATTCTGTTGAAGTGGCTAAAGTAGCAACCCAAAACATTGTCTTAAAAATCAATAATATTTTGCTAAATAACATTAAGTCAAATATTATCCACTATTTAGATATTGGGTGTTAAAGATAAAATTTATTTATCGTTTTTTGCAATGTCTTAGTTAGTATTAACGTATTGTCTCGAAATTTGATAGGATAATATTTTTGAGATAGTAAATTATAAGTGTATTATCAATTTTGAGATTAGATAAAGAGTCACGGACACTCTAATATGAAGAAAACTATCCATTTTTTTACTCCTGGCTTTTCTATTGTTTTTTCTAGTTTTTAATTGTTAATATTAACATTCAACCCATTTCGAGAAATATGAATTTAACATGTTATCGACACGTTAGAGTAGTTTTTTTTTGAAAAAAAAATCAGTAAAAATAAAGAAATCCTATAATTTATCTAAATTATTTGCCCACGCCCTGTACTCGACCGTTGTCCTAGTTCCATTTGCAAGAATATTTTAAAAAGTTGGTTACACTGTTTGCTAAAAATGTCAGTTATTTATGGCGCGGTTGTTGTTGTGTTAATGTGGTAAAAGTACAGAATATTATAGCAGCCGTTGGAGCTTTCAAAATTTATGTTTTATTATGTTGTAAGTCTTGTAAAGAGGTATTGCATATGATATATTGTTTAAATTACATTTTTTGTCGATTTATTCTCTTTATTTAATATAAAATTAATTATATTGGTGTGGTCGAGGATTTTTAAATTTTATAAATATACCAATAAGTAGTCGATCGGCAGGAAACTAGTAGTAACAGTTAATTTTCATTAGGTAATACATTTATTGTAGGTAACCAAGACTTTTGGATTGTTTTATCTACTATTTGATTAAAAAATGCCATTCAGTTGATATCTAAATAAAACTGTTTGACTTACTTGGACTAGAAGCCTCTGAAGAATCAGAAGCACTGGTGAAGGCGCTCCTCTGCATAACAGGAGCCATCCCTAACTCGGAAGCGGTACTAACTGGCGGTACTTGACTTTCGCCGACATTCTGATGAGGCATCTGCGTCGGAAACAGTATCCCTAACTCCCTGGCCTCGTTCTCCTCCTGAGCCTGCTGTCGCCTCAATGCCACCTGAGCCGCCATCACCCGCTGGCGTTCCGCAATCAACGTACATTTGGCACAGTTACAATCCCTCCATCTGCAGTACCGCTTGTGGCCCTTCAAAGCCGACACGACACCGTGATTCCGACATCTTGCACATTTCGGAGTTCTCTGATACCGTTCGGAGGCTCTGAGGAAGAAAGCCGGCGGTATTGCGCCCAAAACGGGGTGCTGAGACATCAGAGCAGACATGTCCACTCCGCTACCCGGTAAACTCATTTTTAAACCGATGATAACATGTCAAAATTGGCGCGTATGTAAGTAAGAATGGCAGCACTGGCAGGGATGTTGCACTTACTGACATTTACTGTCAAATGATACGGTTACCGGTGGTGGATACTGTACCCCAATCTCGGTCGCCTGCGCGTTGCTACATCGTCCAATAGCGAGCGACTACTTACTAAAGCCACGCCTTCGAACGATGACGTAGCGTTTGGCACCGCCCATCTAGGATATTCAGTGTATTACATACAATAGGAATATACAAACTAGATTTGAATGGCAAATATATTGCGGGTAGGATAATAGACGTTGAAGGAGGGTCCTAGTTTCCTACTAATATGCTATTGTTGGGCTTTTTGAGTGAGATACTATATAATTTAGTTTGGATAGATTTTATGGGAGTCTGTGGAGAATGGATTTGTGTTTTCAATGGGATTTAAATGTTTTACTATTAATATGTGAACAATGGGTTTGCGTTTGTGCTGCTGGGAGAGATTATTTTCTGCTTGGAAATTACTGTTGAGTTAGAATTGTTATAGAAACTGGAATATTAGGAATTATTGATGACTTAGGTAATGTAGATGGATTTGGATATAAAAGAATAAATACCTACCTAACCTACTTAATTATTTCGTTAACCGAACAAAAAGGTAATAAATTAAGGAAACAACCAAGTTGGTAATTTTATTATAAAAACCAACATTTATAAAGTAAGAAGTTCGATTACGTACAGTGTGTAGCAAAAAGTCTGCATTAAGCAAATCAATTAATCTAGGTATTAATACATTTTAGATATACAGAATATCCAATATGGATCAATCGAACTGAGGTGATGAAAGAAGTTATTTGCAATCAGAATAACCGTAAGTATACCTACCTACCCAACAAACATTGTAACGGCAAAATCGCTATGGCCCTTTTGAAATTTATAATTAATTTTCCTTTAACTTTAATTTTTCGATGTATCATTGATGGCTTTTTAATTGTTTCTCACATGCAACTGTAAAATCTTATGGCCCTTTTGATATTTGTAATTAATTTCCCTTTAACTTTTATTTTTGGATGTGTCATTGATGGCTTTTATTTTATTATTTATTTTATTTTATTCAAGACACTGACAGGACTAGCCCAAAAAAGTGTCCACCAGATTATATAATAATATAGTACAAAGTTATACAATAATCATATCATTTACAATAATACCTACTCAAAAATAAAGACTAAAAACTATCAACAAGAGAGATTACATATTAAATTATACAATAATATACTACAAAGTTATACAATAATCATACCATTTACAATATTACTTATCTACTCAAAACTAAAAACAATCAACAAGAGAGATTACATAATCTGATTTAGAAAATATTTTAACAGTGCTTTCGTTACGAACATAAAACTATAAAAGAAAATATCTACGCAACTAATTACAAGTTTTTGATATTCTACGGAGGGGAGCATTTAAATAGTAGTTAGTTGCTGCCTTGTTAAGAAAACATGTATGAATATTTCTAGTATTATAATTGGGACAATTAAATTGAAGGAGATTAATTATATCAATGCAATCTATTTGAGACGATTAAGTATTCTGTGCATAAACATTATATCTATCAGAAATGTGTCTTCGAGATTCTAGATTGATTAAATTTAAATTTGATAAAATTTTGTTTTCTCTTGTTTCATGATATTTTTTATGGCAATAAGAAATAAATTTATTCTGAACAAATTGTAACTTATCTATATATACTAAGTAAAACGGATTCCAAATTATTGATCCAAACATGAGTACACTCTTAACGTAAGCCATATACAGGGTGTTTCCGAACTTGGCGTCCAAATTTGTAGGGGTGGTAGTTCGCATAATTTGAGAGTGATTAGCAGATTTCATATTTCTAAAAAAAATATAATAAACAAAATAGGGCCATTATAAAAAAAATCAAAGAGCGGGTCCTACCCTGAGCGCGTAGCGCAATAGTCGCTTGATCGGTTACTCATCGGGATTTACAACTCAAAAACAGATGCGATTTGCAATTTTGTCGATTCTAAGCGTAACGCGCGCGTCTTACTGAAATCGGTATACACAGAATCTACCAACATTTCATTTAAACTTTTCAATATGTATTCAACATAAACAAATTAGTTTCAACCGATCGTTTTTTAATAAAAAAACCATGTTGTTCAATGTTAAGAATATTCTTGACATCACAAAATAGAAAATCGAAAATTAAACTTTCAAATAGTTTACTTAATAAGTTAAATTTTGATATAGGTCTAAAATTATTCACCTTGTTTTTATTTCCTAATTTGTGGATTGGCACAGCGAAAGCCGTTTTCCATTTATCAGGAATCTGTTTTTCGGTTTTTAATTAAATAAGACATTTATATGTCCCCTTATGGGGTCAATGAAAAAATGTTTACACTTTTTAATAAAGCATGCTTTTTAATTGTTTCCCACATGCAACTGTAAAATCATTATGGCCTGTTTGAAATTTTTAATTAATTGCCCTTTAATTTTTCGATGGACCGTTAATGACATTTTAACTGTTGCCTACATGTAAATGTAAAATCGTTATGGGTCGTTTGCAATTTTTAATTAACTGTACTTTAATTTAACAATAAGCCGTTGATGGCTTTTTAACTGTTTCCCACATGCAAATGTAAAATCGTTATGGCTCGTTTGAAATTTTTAAAAAACTGCCCTTTAAATTTTTGATGGGCCGTTGACGGCGTTTCAACTGTTTCCTTCATGCAACAGTAAAATCGTTATGGTTTGTTTGAAATTTGTAATGAACTGCTTTTTATTTTTAATTATTCGATGAACCATTGACGGCTTTTAAAGTGTTTCCCACAAACAACAGTAAAATTATTGAGCCTTTTGAAATGTTCTAATTAAATGGCTTTTAACTGTATTTCTTCGATTGGCCATTGATGGCTTTCTAACTGTTTCCCACAAATAAAAAGAGGAGGAGAATATCGTAACCGATTATACTGTATTAAGAGTGAAGAAAGTGAAGATTTAATCTTGCATAAATTTGCATATTTTTAATTGCTTTTCAGGCTGCTCCAATATCTAAATTGTTTTTAATTATTGTATTAAGATCATTATTATACAGAGTGACAATTTAAATCTTGCTATATCTCATAAATTAAATATACCTAATATCAGAATAAACAATTAGATAGGGAATGTACCCTGTCTGAGTGTGACACACCATTAAAAAGGTAATTGTTTAGGTATGTTAGAACGAATACCCCAAAATTTCGATGTAATGTACCTACCTAATACAAAGTGCCTCATATGAGAGCTACTTTTATTAATAGGTAATTAAAATATTAATACGACGTAAAATTAACTTAAATAAAAAAAAAATAAACTTAAACAAATAATTAAGTAACTACATAATATTATAGAGATAGAGGTACCTATAAGTTGAAGTCAAATGAAACACTGAAATATTAGTAAAATTAGCTCTCATTATGAGATGCCACACTTTGATTCGGTAACACTTTTTTCCTTCAAGAAAGGGCTAAAATTGAGGATTGAGTTATAAATACTCATAATGTTGCATTCCCTAAAACATTACCTTTTTTCCATGTGCCACGTGACATTACCTTTAAAAGCCTGGCATCATTTTTATAAGAGTCTTATGCAAACCTTTGAAAGGGACATTAATATTATGTAAAAATGCTGGAAAATGCAAGCCTTTCACTACTTACTGTTGGGAAAGTGACGTGCCACATACAACAAGCCCATTGGACAGAATTTAACATGAATATTATGAAAAACTGCGGGCGGTGTGCAGGACTTTAGCTCTGTGAAGCTGGCCCCCCGAAATTCGAAAATTTTTCAAATTTTTCAAATTTTATTTTTAGAATTTTCACAATACTAAAAATTATTTTAGAGGGTGGTCGAACGTCAAAATATAATTCTTAATTGTAATAGATCTTAATTTTAAACTTATGTTGTTTGACCATTTTTTCCAAGCCGAAATTCGATTTTCAAATTTAATTTTTCAAAATTTCACAAGAATTAGAAACATTAAAATTATTTTAGGTGGTGGTCAAACGTCAAAACAATTCTTAATCGTTACAGATCTTAATTTTAAACTTATGTCATTTGACCATTTTTTCCAAGCCGAAAATCGATTTTAGAATTGAATTTTTCAAATTTTCACAATACTTAGAAACATTAAAATTATTTTAGGGGGTGGTGAAATTTCAAAACACAATTCTTTATCGTAATAGATCTTAATTTTAAACTTATGTCATTTGACCATTTTTTCCAAGCCGAAATTCGATTTTAGAATTTAATTTTTCAAATTTTCACAATACTTAGAAACATTAAAATTGTTTTAGGGGGCGGTGAAATTTCAAAACACAATTCTTTATCGTAATAGATCTTAATTTTAAACTTATGTTATTTGACCATTTTTCCAAGCCGAAATTCGATTTTAGAATTTAATTTTTCAAATTTTCACAATACTTAGAAACATTAAAATTATTTTAGGGGGTGGTGAAATTTCAAAACACAATTCTTTATCGTAATAGATCTTAATTTTAAACTTATGTCGTTTGACCGTTTTTTCCAAGCCAAAATTCGATTTCCAAATTTAATTTTTCAAATTATCACAATACTTAGAAATATTAAAATTATTTTAGGGGATGGTCAAACGTCAAAACACAATTCTAAATCATAATGGATCTTAATTTTAAGTTTATGTAGTTTGACCATTTTTGCCAAGCTTAAATTCGATTTCCAAATTTTATTTTTCGAATTTTCTCAATACTTAGAAACACTAAAATTATTTTAGCGGGTGGTCAAACGTCAAAACACAATTCTAAATCGTATCTTAATTTTAAACTTATGTCATTTGAACATTTTTTCCAAGCCGAAATTCGATTTTGAAATTTAATTTTTCAAATTTTCACATTACTTAGGAACATTAAAATTATTTTAGGGGATGGTCAAACGTCAAAACACAATTCTAAATCGT